TCAATAAGGTCAAATTACCAATAGATCTCTTGTAAATTTTGACACAATACAATTTTAATGGGCTATTGATCTCTTGTAGATCTAACCGTTAATTTATCATCCAATAAAATTAAGAAAATACACATTACGAGGACCTGGATTCATTGTCTTCTTCGTTATTAGTTAGAAAATCTCGTAATTTTCAAAAAATAAGTAAGGTCGGTCCAATACGTGTGTTTAGAAATTATGCCTGTGGTGGCGCTTCTCTTTCTCTTCCATTTCAAATCTTCAACCACTCATTTGGCAACTATCATATTCATTCGGATCGTAATTCGTAAGGCGACTAGTTTTCTTGACATGGCTTCAAGAATAAGGTAGAAGAGTACAACAAGATCGGAGTGTTGGTGGCGAAGCGGCGGACAATGGGAGGAGATAAGGACGTTGCCGATATATTGTTGGCACTTGTTTTGCCCCTTGGTTCAAGTATTTTGTTCTCCTCTTGTTTGTTTGCTGCTCATCCAGAGATGGTAGTGAAAGTGCAACTACCACTCCCCCATCGCAGAAACAGTGGCGTTGATGGAAGTTCTATTGTGGTGGAGGCGGCTAATTTGCACCTCCTGTTTTGGTGTAATTTTTGCTTCACATTTGTATAGAGCTGACGAAGCTTTTGTTTAGTTTAGAGTTTTTTTTGCGCGCGTTCTTTCATATGTCGAGAGCTTGTGTTTCATCCCGTTCAAGCATGGCATTTCATTTTTAAGCTCATTCCCCTAAGAGCTTGACTTACTCAAACCCTTTTTTACATAAATGAGATTTAACATTGAATCCTATTTATACTCATATACATCTAGGGCTTACAAATATATCATAATAATTAAAAATTATTTGTCATTTAAATAACTATTTTACCATTAATTAATCAAATTCATACACATATTAAGGGATACAATTAACTATTCTTTAACCCCTTAACCCATCTTCACAAATCCACCCCCCTTTTAGGTTTGACGAAACTCATGATTATGGGTTTAATATTCAAACCAGCTACGGGTCAAATTTGAAAACTCAAGATTGAATTTTCAATTCAAACATGAAGTTTGGGATCTTTTGGACTATTTTTCTCAAATCTATCTTATCCAACCCCCCTTACCAATCAGCGCCTAAAGAATTTGGTTTGGGGTCATTTAGTTACGCTATTAAGAGATGAATTAAGTAATCATATTGATCAAAAAAAACTTAAATAATCATAACAAATTAAAACTCTCTAATTTAATCGCATATTATGTTTAACAACCAAAATATTTTTTATTATATCTAGGCTTATTTCGTATACTTATAAAATATATATACAAATAATATGATCTACCTGTACCATTGAGCTAATTTTAATATTACCTGAAGAAGTATTATAATACAGTTAAACTTTATTAGGTTATCTTAATATACTATAAAACAATCAAATTAGGGATGAGAGGCTTTATGAGTACTTCCCTCCCTAAAAGCTAAATTAGTAGAATTTTGAAATATTTAATTAACTAACTTCAATCAAAACATTACATGTGTTCTCTGAAACCACTCCCACTATTTTTTTTAAACTATTTCAAAATTTAAACTTTCAATCATCTTTAACACTAACAGGAATTATCCAATGATATTATGATTACGGAGGGTTTGACCGTAAAATTATGATAATAAAAGATAATAAATTTTGTGCATCGCGCAGAGTACCCACTAATATTTTACGTACCAAATATATAAAAGCATGAATAACTAAATTAAATTGATAATTCTTTGATCAATATATAATTTTAGTCCTCTATTATTACACTCTTAATCCAGTATTTAGAACACTGAATTACAATAGAAATTATTTTTATATCACATTTAATCTTATATTTTATTTGCTTAAATAAAATTAATCCATATTAATGAATACAATGCTTTCTTTGGTGCCCAGCTATGAGATATCTGGAAGAATCCAATCCATATTAGTGAATGCATTCGTCATCCTCATTCCTATGATATGGGATATCTGGAAGAAACCATTATATAAAGGATGAAACTAGAAAAAAATTTGTTGGCTGTTCACAGTGTATATAATATTTGCTTACTAAAGCCAATGTATAAAAGAGTTTGAGGGCCAACTAGTAATCGTAAAAAAAAAAAAAAAAAAACTGGCTTTGGTTTGGGAGAGGGGAAAGAGAGTAATGCTATTTTAACTTAAAAATTTGACATAATTTCTTTACTTAATGGAACCATTGGATCAATTTTAAATTCTAATGTTTGATGAGACCTACAATCAATCCAAATGTTATAATAAATTAGGTATCAATAGCATTGCTTGAGAAAAGAGAGAGGGGTTGATTGGTTTGGGAGAAGGTGTTTGGAAAAAGCCATGTTTGAGTAATGTATTGCGACATAAAATATTGATTTAATTTCTTGATATGACGATGGGTCAAGCGATACAATTTCAATAAAAAATATTAAACAATTATAGTTATAATAATGCTATTAACTCATATCACCTCTATTTCATTAGGTCAACAAATTAAATCAGTTTTTTTATGTCTCAATAGCATAATTCATCATATTTTAGTATAGATCAATGTTATTTAAAACTAATTTACTGATTTAATTATTTTTTATCACTAGATTGACAATGAATCTTACTATTAGTTAGTTAGGACCCACTATTTAGAATTAATTTGTCGATCTTATTTATTAATGTCAGTATTTTTATACTCGATAAGAGTCTACACTCAATAAAAATAGTATAACAGAAATTTATACTGAGAAGAAAAAAAAAGAATCAAGCCTAAATGATCAATTAATTGGGACATTTATGTATAATTATCATTGTTAGACTTTTTATTAAGATAATAAGATATTCTAGATCATTAGGTCAAAATATTATATTATATTTTTTATGTCTCAATATACTTTTTATGGCGCAAACCAATAAAATTAGAAATAATCATCAACTCATTATTTTCTTTCTCTACTCAAATAATAAGTTTTTTAAGTGAGGTACTAAATTAGATATAAAAGTTAGATTCTTTTTTAAGCTAATGTTTTACTTGCAATAGATGACTTACATTATCTTTAACAATTACTTCTAAAAGAAAATTCAAAGATGAAAATTGATAAAACCGTATCTCAAATAAATAGTTATAAGAAAGATGAAACAAAATAATCATACTATTAACTAAAAATAATATGTTTCCATTAATTTAATACAACAAGTCCCCTTCCCTTTCCTCCCCCTCCCCCTCCCCCTCCCCCAAAAAAAAGAAAAAATAATAATTTAATACAAATATTTACTTAATAATTTTGTACTTTGAAGTTTGAAGTAAAAAAAAGAGTAAAACACAATTTTAGTCTTCAAAGTATGCGTTTAGTGTCTATTTGTTCTTTAATCTTCTAATTGTATTTATTTGATCCTTAAGATTCCTAATTTGTATCTACGTGGTCCAATTTCAAATATTCATCAAAAAATCGTGACGGTTCTAGTCACGTCCCAATCACATGTTTCCAAAATTTGTCTATTTAGTCTCTAAAGTTTCTAATTTATATCTATTTGGTCCCACATGATTAGCACGTGACCAAAGCATTAACGATTTTTCGATAGATATTTGGAATTGGACCACATAGATACAAATTAGTAACCTTAAAGACCAAATTGATAAAATTAAAAAATTGAGCACAAAATAAACACCACACGCATACTTTAGAAACTATACACACAAAAGAAAAACCACTTAAAAGAATATAAGAGACCTCACTCAAATACTAGTTTAGCAAGGGATGTGGTCCGCCGTGGATTGTCCATCTTTAGCTTAGAGCCTATTTTCGTGAAGAGCAATGTTATATGGATTCAAAATTATATTTGATAATTTTAATCATTAATTTTACTATGAGTACCAGCATTTATTGGATACTTCCAAGTCTAATTGTTAACCTTAGCACAAGTCAAGCAATTGAATACTTCCAAGTCTGATGAAATATTAATTAGAGTTTGACTAATAAATTATTATAGAATTTTAGTAGGATAAGGATTTGAGAGTTTGATTATAAAACTCTTTTAGAGTTTTAGTAGAAAAATAGTTTTTATTTTGGTAGGGAACTTGTCCTGTAAATAATGGTGTATCCCAATTACCTTAATTAAAGAGAATGACATAATAAAAAGTATTTTTCTGTAGAGAATTTTGTGTGTTTTTGGACTAATTCCTTTGTCTTTCTATTATGTAATTTCTAATTTGTTCAATGTAAACATTCAAGAACTTTTGTAGTGACTCGTTTTCTTTTGGTCAATTTTTGATATGTCTATATGAAAGGCACGTCATGTTCAATTTAAACATTCACAAATCTTCATCGTAGTTCGCGTGATTAGCATGTTACCAATTAATTTTTTGATAGATATTTGGGATTGGACCACATAGATACAAATTAATAATCTTAAGTACCAAATAGACGCAATTAAAAGATTGAGGATAAAATAAACACTACACACGTATAAAAAAATATAAAAGACCGCACTCAAATATGCCAGCTACCGGCCCTGATTGGTCGCATATTCGAGATGGTTATTAGTTTAGCAAGGGCAGTGGTCCGCGGTGGATTGTCCATCTTTAGCTTAGAGCCTATTTCCGTGAATTGTGCATCCTTCCCCATCTGATTGTTAGCCTTAGCACAAGTCGAGCAATTGAAAACTTCCAAGTCTTCTATTCACAACCTATTGTTTTCAGTCCGGTGATTAACACATTTTCTTTTCCTCAGTTTCTAGTATGTCTATACTAAAGATACGTCATGTTCAATGTTACTATGCACGAATTTTCATTGTTACTCACTTTCTTTTTGTCAATTTTTGGCATGTTCAATGTAAATATTCACGAATTTTTGTGGTAATTCATTTTCTTTCAGTCAATTTATGATATGTCTATATTAAAGACACGCCATGTTCAATATAAACATTCACAAATCTTCGTCCTAACTCTTGAGCAGAAAGAAAGGGAGAGAGAAGGAGAATGGATCCGTTGCCAAATAATGCCATAGTGTACTTCCGCCATCCAGGGCATCCACTGGAACTGCTTGAGGTTAACACAGAGTACGTCTGTGATGGTTGCAAGACCAATGGATCCGGGACAACGTACCGATGCAATTCGTGCGATTTCGATCTCCATGAATACTGTGGTACATGCCCCGGAACCCTCTCCTCCTTCATGCATCTATACCCACCCAGTCTAGTAGTCCACAACGCTCAAGCCACTAGCCAGAACGAACCCGTCTGTGACGTCTGTGGTGACCATGTGGAAGGGATGTTCTACCGGTGCGAGAACTGCGAATTCAATCTTCACCCACTTTGTACCCTGTTGCCTCAGTCCCTACGCCATGTGCTCCACCTGGAGCATGAGTTGACCTTCCAGGCCGACGCATCACCTGACTTGTGTGCCATTTGCCGAGGCTCGTGTTGTTCTTGGCGTTATAGGTGCGGAGCTTGTGGCTTTGATATTCATAAGGAATGCATTCTAGTACCCTGTGATCCGCCAACCCAACGCTCAGTTCCGTTTAGTCAGCCAGGGCCACCACCACAATGCCCAATTCCGCCATTTGGTCCATCAGGGTCGCCACCATATGGTGGTTCTGGTCATGGGATGCCTTCTGGGTATGGTCCACCAGGGCCGCCACCATATGGTGGTTGTGGTCATGGGATGCCTTTTCGACATACTCCACCTACCAGGGCCGCCACCATATAGTGGTTATGGTCAAGGTATGCTTTCTGGGCATGGTCCACCAGGGCCGCCACCATATGGTGGTTGTGGTCATGAGATGCCTTTTCGACATACTCCACCAGGGCCGCCACCATATGGTTGTTATGGTCATGAGATGCCTTTTCGGTATAGTCCACCACGGGCACCACCATTTAGTGGTTTTGGTCATAGTCCACCTTCTGGGTATAGTCCATACAACAATGGAAACCATCAGACTCCAACAGTTGGTAGAACAACAAATGGGAAAAAGTGCAAGATGTTTAGACTTGTACGACAACTAGGTATTGGGCTGGCCTCTAATGCCATCTTTGGATTAATATTATAGATCCAATCAGATTCATCAAGTTATTGTCTAATCTCTATATGATCCATCACGATGGTTCCAGTATAAAATCTGTATTTTTTATTTTTTTAGGCATTGGAAGTTGAGATATAGGTAACAGAGAAAAGAAAATAAATAACAATTCTAGCCTAAGTTGTAGCCCAACCATCTGTAGATACAACTTAGGTTAGAGTTGATGGTAAATTTGTATTCTCCTTTTATTGCAAGAGCTTATGTCCTATTCAATATAATTTTGTTTATTTACCAATAAAAAAAAGATCTGAATTCTCTGAGGTTGGAGCGGAATCTCACATTTGCATTACTATTTTTTACGGTGAACTCACAAAAGTAACATAGTTAATTTTCACCCTTTTTGCAAATTTGAATAGGCAATGTACCAAACACAATCAAAAAATAAAAATAAAAGTAGATAATAAAATCAATCACAAGTGAGACACAAAATTTACGTGGTTTCCGAAACTCAAGATACATTCGCGAACTCTGATTTCAACCTTCCACTATATTTCAATAATATGTTTACAACAATCTTTCCTAAAACAAATTTCAATGACTATCAAAATATCAATAATTTATCACCCGAAGATGAGCATCAACAAAAATAATATAAAGAGATCTCATTTGATAGATGTTACAAAAATATCAATTTGATAAACTTTTAATAAAATAAATTAATTACTGTGTAGTCTCTCTTGTTATAAATTCTACGTGGTCCACTTAGGGAGTTCCACTTGAAGACAAAGTCTTCGATGTACATGTGGTCTATGTGGACCACGTTTCCGCTGTCACGTTATTTTATATACGTTATTTTTTTTAACATTTTTTTTAATACTTAACTTCCAAGAAAATCACATTAAACAAATAATTGAATTATGGACATAAGATAATGGATTGGGTTATCACATGTGTTGGATCTAACCCAATAAAATAAAGATTTTTTTAGGTGTTTGTATATTTTATTAGATTTATTTGAGAAGAAATGTATGGGTAATTTGTTTACCCTATTTAGTTCAATTCTAATAAAATATCTTGTGATTAGTTAAAAAAATCAAATTTATTTATTTTACGTATTTATCTTTTCTTAAATTATGCATATTTCTTATTTTTTCACCGTCTCTCCCTTCATTATTCTATCTCTTTCTCCCACCTATTTTTTCTCTCTCTCACTTCCTCTCTCCCCGTTACTCTCTCTATCGCTCTCCTACTTTCTGTTTGTCTCTCTCCAAGTGATAATTTAGTTTCTTTTCAAATATGTAAAAATTTAATTTGATTTTTCATCTTTCTCTTCCCTATTTTCTCTCACCCTTACTCTCTACTTATATTAACATTACACCAATCAGTTACACCAATCAATTACACTAATCAGTTAGCCCCAAAGAGTTAATCATTTACAAACAAACAATTACACAAATAAAGTTATCTAAGAGTTACAATAAATATGTACCAAATGAGTTATACCAAACAGTTAACCATCTACAAATAAATTATTATATCTATGTAACTATTTAACAATCGAATTTTAAGGTTTTTTTGTTTTACATACATGCATTCATCATAAAAGATTTCAAATTTTTTTATTTTCATTTCACAAAACATGGGTTTGGATTTTATCAAACAAAAACTTGAACTAAAAAAATATAAAGAAACTCGTACCGTTGAGCGATTCAAATGCCGATTGTAACACCAAACTATTATCCAAAACAGATATACGAATCAAATGCCTTGAATCTCAAATAGAGTTGCTCTACACTGTTACAACAAACAAAAAATTAGCGTAACTGTTTAAAATTTGTGTTTTTAAAATTTAAATTTTTATATACTCACTCAAAATAAAATAATTCAACTTTGTTATTGTCATTTGGAATTGTTAGTGTTCTTTTTAATTTTATTTTGGGTTCTTCAGAACAAAAACTGTAAAAAAAAAATTTGAAAACTAACCATTAAAAATTGGGGCTGAAACCTTGGAGGCGAACTTCAATGTTTGGAGAAGAGGACTCCGGCAATGAAAAACAGTTCCACTAAACCAAAATGCTGAATATACAATAAAATAGGATCTCTTGTTCTTCTTCCTTTCTTTAAAAAAAAACTCCTTTTGATCTTCAACCATTCCCAAAATTATCTGTACAATCTGTTCATAAATTCATTCGAATCCCACAAATACCAAAGACAAAGGGACACTAGGTTTAATGCTTCCTTTCTTGCCGCTTGATTCCTTATTGGAGCCAAGATTGTTGTTTGACATTCAAAAGGGGTTTGATCTTCTTTCCTTTTAATGAATGACTTTTTGGTCATTTTTTAAAAAAATGCACTTTCCTCATACAACTTTTTCTGTTAGATTTTAGTTCAATTACATCTAAATTTTTGTACTGACTTATATTTTACCCATAAAAAAAACTACACTGGAAGTAGGATGGTGTTTTTATTGTAATAGGTAATGTCCACCTTTCATCTTGCATGTGTTTCAAACTTTCAATGCATTCATGAAATTAACTTTTTATGCAGTCCCAAATGTTCCAAGAGAAGTTCAAAAAAAAACTCGCCATATAATGGTTTCACATAACTCTTTTTTTTTTTTTCTGTTGAGATACTTTCTATTATTTTTTCACTAAATGATAAATTTTTTTATCGTAAATTCAAGTGACATTCCTTTCATTATTCTTTTCACGCAAGGTGAATTATTTTGACAATAATTTGGGAATTGTTTGTGTAATGACCAAAAGTCTTGTTTTTTGGACCGGCCCTACTACTTGGCTGCTGAAGTCTGCTCTTTAAGGCCCACTCAGATAAAAAGCCTCAAATTTTTGTATGTGTAAATGGCCTATGACAAAGTTTTACATTTAACAGAGTATCTTCAATCATTACCTTTTTTTAAATTTAATTTTAAATTTGAGTAAAAAAATTTTAAAATTTCTCTCTATTGCTAGACTTATACCCGTATCAAATGAATGAATTTTTTTTTTTACTCAAATTAAGGGAGACTCAAATCTTTAATGATGAGATTTTACTCTCTTTTAAAGATTCAATGGTTATATTTAACCTCTTTTAAATTTAGCTTTGTTCTCATTTAAATTTTGATTTCTCTTCCTTTAAATTTGAATTTATCCATTAGAGTGGTATGTACTAAATCAAAATTTTAACCTCTTTTTTTTTTTAACTTGTATAAGAGTATCTGGGTTTCCATTTGAGACAGTCTGTCATGTTTAGGCCTAGCAAAAAAGTCCAGTAGAATATAACTCAATTAAAGAACGTTACGCCCAATAAATAACACACGTAATTAAAAATCTATAATTGCTTTAGTTGTATTATTTATTGAAAATGAAAAAAAAAATTGAAATTCCACAACTTAATATATACATTTGGAATAAATGTAATTTAATATTTTTAATAATAAAATTAATAATAATAATAATTTTTATTATTACCACATTTATAAATTTCACTTTATGCCCACCATTCCATTCGGCCACCCTGCTTGTTTTGTGACCAACTTGGCCAATTTCTTGTCCGAAAGCAAGTTGACTATGTACATGAAGTCAGTCAACGAAGGCGGAGTCATAAGCTGCAATTATTTACTCACAGCAGCAAAATCGATCGCATCGTCAAACGAAACATCAGGTAATAGTTCAAAGTCACTAATATTTCTATTAATTACTACTACTATTACTACTATTCTCTTTCTGGTTTTCCTACCTACGTAATTAGCACCAAGTGAAAAGCCAAAGCCTCATTGCCTAGGTCTCTCAAATAAGACTATCAAAAGTTTTTGCATAATGTGATGTAGTTGGGTAGGCTTTGCCCCGTAAAAATAGGGTAAATATTACAATTAATCCCTCAACTTTGATTTCAATTTTAATTTAATTTTTGAACTTTTAATTATTTTAATTTAGGTTTTTAATTATTATTTTTGTCTCAATTAAATCATTTTGTCCTCTTTCATCAACGTTGAAATGGATCATATTGGATTAATTTTTAGTTGATATAAATGTAAAAATAGATGAAATGACTTAATTAGTAGTTGAAAGACTAAATTGAGACAATTAAAAATTTAGGAACCAAATTAAAAACCAAGACAAAATTATAATAATAGGGTAAATTATACTTTATTCCTTTGAACTATTACCTCTTTTTTTTCACTTTGTACCCTTAATTATAAATTTTTTTACATTGCACCCTAAAGTATCTATTTTATTTTATATCACTCTAATAGATAATAATTGTCAATTGTTTCACGATACATACAAAGGTGAGTGGTTTGTACTGCCAATAAGAAACTGTCTATTGCACATGTGCAAGTTAAAAATCAAAAAAAAATACTCATCCATAACTTTACTCTTTCTAAGCTCCAAATTTTCTTCCTCTGGCATACATTCTTTCTCTTCGTAGCAACCATTTGGTTGCAAAAGGTAAAATAAAGTATTACTAAGCACTTGGTTGAAGTTCTTTAGAGTTTTCCTTCCTTTTTTGATAAATTTTAAAGTTTGTTGATCTATTGATGTAATATGACATAAAATTAATACTTTAGAATGCAATGTGAAAAATTTTATAATTAAGAGTATAAAGTGAAACAAAAATAATAGTTCAAGAGAATAAAGTGTAATTTACTGTTATGATAGTTACCCATGCGGTGAACAACTTAATAAACCGTATATAAGAATAAGGTGAAATTGTCAATAGATCTCTTGTAAATTTTGACACAATACAATTTTAATGCGGTATTGATCTCTTGTAGATCTAACAGTTAATTTATCATCCAATAAAATTGAAAAAATACACATTACGGGGACTTGGATTCATTGTCTTCTTCGTTATTAGTTAGAAAATCTCGTAATTTTCAAAAAATGATTGAGGTCGGTCTAATACGTGTGTTTAGAAATTATACCTGTGGTGGCGATTCTCGTTCTCTTCCATTTCAAATCTTCAACCACTCATTTGGCAACTATCAAATTCATACGGATCGTAATTCGTAAGGTGACTAGTTTTCTTGACATGGCTTCAAGAGTAAGGCAGAAGAGTACAGCAAGATGGGAGTATTGGTGGCGAAGCAGCGGACAATGGGAGGAGATAAGGACGTTGCCGATATATTGTTGGCACTTGTTTTGCCCCTTGGTTTAAGTATTTTTGTTCTCCTCTTGTTTGTTTGCTGCTCATCCAGAGAGAATAAAACTAACCTGACAAATGATAGTGAAAGTGCAACTACCACTCCCCGTCGCAGAAGCGGTGGCGTTGATGGAAGTTCTATGGTTGTAATTTCTTCCAACGGTAACGCCTCGTGTGATGGTCATATTCATGATGGCGCTTATTGTGGTGGAAGCGGTGAATTTGGTGGGGGCGGCTAATTTGCAACTCCTGTTTTGATGTAATTTTTGCTTCACATTTGGATGTACCGTAGACTACTCCCATTTGTATAGAGCTGACAAAGCTTTTGTTCAGTTTTAAGGGTTTTTTTTTTTTGGCGGACGTCCTATCATATTTCGAGAGCTTGTGTTTCATGTCGTTCAAGCATGGCATTACATTTTTAAGCTCATTCCCGTAAGGGTTTGGCTTAGTCGAACTCTTTTAAATTTAAACATTTCTATACAAAGATGAAATTTAAAATAAATTGGGTTCACACTCATGTTTGTTATAATGCACATATAGAACTTACAGATATATCATAATTATTCATAACTATTTATCATATAAACAACTATTTTATTTTGGATCAATTTAATTCATACTCATGTTAAGGGATATAATTGTTTTTTGTATCTTTAACCTCTTAACTCATCTTCCCAAACTCACCCTTTTTTTAGATTTAACGAAACTCATGTTACTGAGTTTGAAAACCTAAAATTAAATTTTTAATCCAAAGATGAGGTTTGGGATCCTTTGGACTATTTTTTTCAAACCTATAACGTCAAACCCCCTAACCAAGCAGCCCCTAAAGAATTTGGCTCGAGGTCATTTAGTTACAATATTAAGAGTTGAATTAAGTAATCATGACAAATTAAAACTCTCTAATTTAATCTTATTTATGTTTAATTACCAAAATATTTTGTATTATATCTAGGCTTATTTTGTATACTTATAAAATATGGCCCGTTCGATAGACGCATTATAAAGGAATTAAATATTATATTGTATAATTTTTTATTTAGTCGAATCTAATATTTTATTTGGTAAGCAAATTTAATACCATATTAATTTCAAAAACGTATACTTATCATTTATTTTTTATACGATAGACTTGTATTATGGAGATTTTTTAATATTACCAAAAGAGGCGGTATTATAATCCAATTCAAACGTATTATTTTATACATTTACTATTATAACCCCCCAAGTGATAAATTCAAATTGTCATCAATGTAACAAACACTGATTGATGATATTTTTGTTAATTCAACATTAATACGATGAAATAATTCTCTAACTAAACAACCGATTGAATTAAATAACTATTATTCAACGCTTGTATTGTGTATTGTCAAACACTAAATAAAATTACGTATTATTCTAATATCATATTTAATCTTGTCTTTAATTCATCTGTATTGTATTAGACTGTATTACTTTATCTAATCCATCTATTTTTAATACGGCAGCCAAATGAGCCCTATATGTACAAATAATATGATCTACCTGTACTACTGAGCTAATTTTAATACCACCTGAAAATGTATTATAATACAATTAAACCGTATTAGGTTATCTTATCATACTATAAAACAATCAAATTAGGGATAAGAGGTTTTAAGAATACTTTCCTCCCTAAAAGTTAAATTATTAAAATTTTGAAATATTTAATTAACTAACTTCAATCAAAACATTATATGTGTCCTCTGTAACCGCCCCCACTATTTTTTTTAAACTATTTCAAAATTTAAACTTTCAATCATCTTTCTTAATTATTTAAAATATAAATAAATATCATGTTAACTCTAATAGGAATTATCCAATGATATTATAATTACAAAGGATTTGATCGTAAAATTAGGATAATAAGAGATAATAAATTTTGTGCATCGCACTAAGTGTCCACTAATATTTTACGTACCAAATAAATAAAAGCATTAATAACTAAATTAAATTGATAATTTTTTGATCAATATATAATTTTAGTCCTCTATTACTACACTCTTAATCCAGTATTTGGAACATTGAATTACAATAGATATTTATTTTATATCACATTTAATCTTATATTTTATTTGCTTAAATAAAATTAATTCATATTAATGAACACAATTTTTTTTTTGCGGTACAGTAACCAAACAAGCCCAAAGAATTTTGTAAATACCTGTCTAAAGAAACTAGTTACTTGAATTTGACTCGTGATTGGTTGAACATACAAGTTAGATTTAAACTCAATTTAAGAGCTCGTTAAGAAATCAAGCCAAGCTTGAACCACTCACGCTGTGTTGGGTCTAGATTAGACGTGAAAGCAGCTACTAAATATATGCATCACTCACACCCACCCGGATTATAGAGTAGACAGACAATAAGACTTCAACTCAAGGCATGGCATGAATTTATAGCTTCGCTCTTTATTTAACCACTGAACCAACCAGTGCAAGTTTAACATTCCTAATCTTGCTTTCATATTTAATCAAAACTCAAATTCTGGCTCATTATAGAGTGTGCACTATGTTCAGCGAGTGACAACTAATTCGAATCTCTTTCTCAAATGTTCAAGTTTGTCAGATAACCCGTATTGCCATTTTCCCAAAAATTCTTTGACATTTCTTCAAGATAACAAGTTTCCACCCAACATACAGACAGTTTGATCCATTCTCTTCTTAAAGGTCCACTGCTGTAATACGTTGCTCGAGAACAACTAAACACATGAGAAGCAAATCAGCTCAAAAAATGTCGGTAAATATTTTCCTGAGGATGATAGGCTCAAATTTCAGAACTGGAAAAATGGTAACAAGATGACTGGCCTAGGTGAAAAGCTTTCGTGGCTTCAAGTGCCAAAGCTTCGGTCTCCTGCATCTCCGAAGCCAGGAATTATAAACCTGAACAGGCTCAAACAACACAAATAGTGAAACACCAATAAAAGTGACTGCTGTTGCGCAAGAACGATTTGTACTCATGGTAGAAGTAATTACCCTTTGTCATTAACAGTGGGGTCAATTATTCCAGCATATACATGGAGCCTGAAAAATCATTAAAACATCAGGAATAAAAAGCTGAGACATAATTCAATATCGATAGACAATCTCAGTTGATAATCACCCAGGGAACTTATCACTAAGCTTTTGAAGGGCTGGAGGAGCAGCAACAGCAGACACCTGTGACAATGCAGTTTTGTATTGTCAGTACAACTACCATATAACTGTAAACAAAACTATGGAAAAACAGCCATCATGCTTAAGAAACACCATATGAAAAATATCACTCGCATATATAGGTGAGGTTGGACAGGCAGCTGCAAGTTGAAGGTCTCATTTGTGGAAAACTTGCCATGAGGGAACTCATTTTAAACATCATGATACAAGCTCCAGACATTTCCAGATGACAGAGAAATAATACATAGTCTTTTAAGCATAGATACAATAAAAATGTCAAAGTCGTCAACCTACCACTTTAATTTGCTTGTTGTCAACCCCGCGTTTCTTTATCATATCAAGAGCTGCGACTACTAAGACGTGTAACAAAGTAAATCAACTTGACTCTCCTAAGAAATTAAGGTTTATATAGACAAATTCCACCATTAAACCAGCAAACATATGGACAGATGTGTATGCAACACAGAAATGGCAGATATGGTATTCACTTCAAGAGAAATGTGAAAGAGAGAAAAAAAACCCTTCACATCTAGGGTGCATCGAAGCCTTATTCTGTATATTCAGGAACAAGGCTATCAAATGGTCGACTGCAAAACCCATCGGGGTTATAAATTTGTATATTTTAACAATGCCCTCTATTAGCAATCGTTCAATGGACTACTTTTGTCATATCTGCCAAATGAAGGAGCTCAGCGAGCCTTGCAAGAAGTACATGCTTTACTAATAGGGGCATAGTAATAGTAGTTTTCTGGGTTGGTTTTGCTCTCTACCTTCTTCTGGGGGGATGGAAAGAAGAGAGGTCAACTGTGAACAAGAAGAGAAAACACTTGAGAATCCTGAATCATCAAGGATTTCTAGTCCACTGGTTAAACTTCCAAAAAGAGAGAACGAAAGCAACAGGTTGCTGCTGAAACTCTTTGCTTGCTGAAGAAAAGGAAATTTATGACACCAAACATTCTTGTGCGATAATAGTTGAAATAAGTTGTGAGAAAAGCATATTACGTACTCTACAGTGAGCTTAATCACAAATCAATTCAAGACCCCCAAGTACAGTGGCAAGATGATTTCTTTATTGATGGTACATCTCACAGAAGCTCCTCTTTCTAATGAAGTTTCTGTAGTCTTTACACCACAAAAAAATCGGAAGAATGGTCATCATACACAAACAAGCCATTTCCGAAGTACTAGCTTTCTATCATCCAGTATAAGCTAACCACCGCTGAATTACACCCAGATCTTAGTGACATAAACAGCTTCTATTGCCAAGCATCAATCTAATAGAAGAAAATAAATACTGATGCGCGTTGGAAACTAAAACCATAAGGCTGATGTTAATTTCTTATTTTGAGAAGTAAATTTTGTCGCATTGTTGCCAGGAATCGACTTAAAACATAATTGAAACTAAATCTAATTAAAGAAAAGAAATCACTACAGCCATAATGGAATGCATCTTAATCTTCAAACTCCTGAATAGATAGGACAAAAATGGAAGACTACATGTAATGACCAGTAATGCAGACAACAATGGAACAAATTTCCTCAAGACCTTATATCAGTAAGATTTTGAAGAGGTGGAAAAGTAGTGGCAGTCATGTAATTATAACCACAAGATTTTCTTCAATTCGTGAAAGTAAGAAAAAGACATAATGAAGGCTCTACAAAACAGACATATTATCCAAGTAGTTCAGCCATAGGAAGACTATTAGCACCTGTTGCCAGCATAGGATCGACAACAAATACTTGAGAACCTTCAGGAAATTTATCAGGTAACCTGCAAACAGGAAACATAACCTATCAGAAGACTTGTTCTCAGACTGAGACAACTAATACAGATCAGGAAGCAAAAACAGTGACCAAACAGAAATCACTCAGAGAACAATGATTTTTGGATTCAAAAATCATGAAATAAAATGGCACCATATGCTAAGGAATAATGGATGATCCGCATAACACAGTAAATAAAAGAAAGGCCTCTTAATTTACACAGATAAACCTTACTTGTTTAAGTATACAGTCGGCTAAAGCGTTTCTTCGTCTCTGCTAATCCCTTAATTTGCAAAGAAAAAAAAGGATCATAGGCTTCCCCCATCAGACAAACCTTTCACAGTCAAATTCATCAATGATGATTCCCTACCTAGATGATATGTTTTTGTTGCTGGCAAGATTGATGATGCATGTTCTGCAAGAGCAAGACCAGCCCTCAAGATGGGAACAATCTGCCAAGCTTAAACAAATAGTCTATCAGTTGATTGATACACATAAAAGCTCTACTCTTCCATGATAACATAATGAAGAACAAGATCACTATCATAAATTAGCTGATGTTAATTTACACTGGCAGTCAATGACCTGTATAATTAAGAATACAAACAAATGGGTAAGCCATAGAAAACTTGCAACAAGTTTCCCAAAGAAACACCCTTGACTATGTGCACACCCATCAGATATCAATCCATACCAAAACAAAGATACTGAGCTAAAAAGGAAACCTGATGAATAGTAAATACACAAAATAACATACTAACCGCTACAGGTTCCCTCGAATCAATAAATTCTACAGAGGTAATGGCCATAGGTGACTGAATCTCCCCTGAGATAGTAGGCTGGCACCAGTGGAAAAAAAGTCACAAAGTTAAAAATGTTGGCAAACATATAGGAAAGGGAACAGGAAACATACATACAGGCTAGTTGCGTACATTTATAAGTAGGGTGGCACGCAAACCCCACACGGAAATACCAGGTTTGGATTGAGGCTAAAATTGTTCGTGTTGTACACAGGTTGACAAGATTAACACGTTCACTAAATATGTCATGTTCGAACTTATAACATCAATCTATTATACCTATTCATGACACGAACACAAGTATGATCTGTGTCACGATTCACAAACATGAACCGCAACACAAATATATCCAGTGTAACCTTTAAAACCAGGGCTTTTTCACCTAAGAATTGATTTCTTCTATTTTTTTTACACCTAAAAAAGTGATCCATGCAACTTATTTAACTTGTAAAATCTGCCTAACCCAACAAGATCTATTTATGAAATGGGTTATACGGGTCATGTTATGCAACATTTAATAAACAGATCATATTATGGTTAGAGATTTTGACAAGATTAGATAAATCGTATCATGTGTGAGTTGAACCACTTGCGGCAATCCTCTACTTCGACATGCCACGGCCCTCTATGTATATAAGAGTATTGTATTTACTACAAGAAAAAAGAGGGGGTTATGAAAGAGATGCAAACCCATATAGAGAGAGGATGTGTTATGAAGAATTTAAGGTGCAGCATTTTGTCTTCTCTCTTTCTACATCCTTCCTATGTTAACCTCTATCTATATCTTGCATGGAAACTTGTTTCTTTCCAACATTATCCAAGAAGACTTGTACAAACTTTTAAGTCTCTATTCGGACCACCATGTTACTATGTCTGACATATTCAACTAATGAAAGTTTCCAAAACTAATTATAAAGTAGATTTGCATAAGTTCATTACTCACCAGGCAATCCCTTGCCGCTTCGTACATAAGCAACCTCCCCAGCTCAGCCATGGCATTCTCTACGGTGATACAACAGAAATGTTAATGCCTTCATAAGAGGGAAAAAACATCATGAGCCTGAATGGGAGCCATAGACAACTACTTTGAAAACTCAACTTTACTTTACTATGCCATTTGGTTCAATCATCAAGAGCAGCAGTTCCCAAAACATGTAAAACACATATAACCTGCAACAATACTAGCATATATATATATAATTTTTAATCAATATTCATGTTGCTAGCAATCATGTGAGCAACGTTTAAGTTTAAGGAAAACCACTTGCCATTTCATGCTTGCACCAAATTTGATGGGACCAACACTGAGTGATAACCATGAAGGATCTTTGCAAAAGGGTCATTCTTAACTGCAATGGTAGAAATGGTAGATATAATGTTGTTAGAATGATTGTTTCAAGTTTTCAATCGTATCGAGGTTTTCTAAATTAAAGGTGTAGAACTTTGTCTAGGTGATGACAAGAACAGGAAACTAACGATCTTCTTCCCCATGTACATTCGACTAGTTGAGGCATGCTTTTTTGTATTATGGTTGAATACCAACACAAGAAACTCAAGATTATTTTTTGGTTCTCCAAATATTATAAACTAGTAGAAAGCCGATTGTATGAAAGATGCTTTATTCAGCTTTCACTTGATGCTATACAAAAATCAGCTGCATTGCTGGTAGTAAGAATTGCAACTAAGTGTCGGGACCACAGGAAATAGAAGGTCGACTGTATGAAAGATGCTCCATTCAGCTTTCACTTGGTGCTATACAAAATCAGATGCATTGCTGGTAGCAAGGAATGCTACAAATCACTGGTAGCAAGGATAGCAACATGGTGCCAGGACCACAGGTTTGAGCTACCACTTATGACATCGGAGAAGAAAAATGGAACCAACTGATATAACCACATCGAAAGAAATTCACTCTGTGTGAAAGATCACTCAATTTTTAATAGTATTCTATCATTACTGGTTACCAAGACCACTACATTTGACAGAAAACAATCCCACTGGTAAGAGGACCACAAGCATTGCAGTTAAAAATAAACCAAAATTGGAACCCATTTTTTTTTTGAAGAAATTTGGAGCCTAAATCAAACCTTTTCAACAAACCACAAATATCCCCATTTCCACTGATTATTAAGCAACTTTGATTAAGTTATTAAATGTACAAAACTAACTGGGGGAGAAAAAAGATTATATACTAACATAAAAAATCAGATATTGTAAAAAGAACTATCACTTACTAAAGATGGTGCAAGGAGTCTGCTCATTTCTAAGTACCGCAACCCAGTGCTTGATCAAAGGATGCGGGGGAACAAACACCTGAAAATCCCAGTCAAATGAAATTATTAGAATCTAAAATCTCACTTTCTGTTTGGTAACGTTTAGAAGATGTAAGAAAATTTAAGAAACTAAAAAACCAACATTTTAAACCCTGATACTATCAAAGGGAACTGACCAGCATTCTATCCTCGGCAATTGGCTTCTTCTCTGTCGTCGCCTCAGATTTCACACAGAAAGACCTACAGTGACGACCAGTAGAGAGTGAAATCTGTGCAAACCAATGTAGCAAATTAGCATTTAGATAGAAAAAGATAGATCAATGAACAGAGAGAATAGAAATAAGACTGCGTTACCTTCTTGGAATGGAGAGAGGAGGGAATAAGATTGGGCACGGGAAGGTGTTGTCTATGTACGGCGGAGAACAGCGGCGGATCGTACGGATATCGGAGGAGAGGCAAATTTTTCCGGCACGCCATGAATGTCGATGAGCGAGAAATAAATAGAGGGTGAGAGAGCTAGAGTTTCAGCTCATTGGGTCTTCGTAGATTTACACGGGTCCGATAAACCAGGCTTGCGGGAAAGATACAGAATTAAACATAAGGGTAAAAGTAAAACTCTCTTATTTTTTTATTTTTTTTTTCTTTTTTTCAATGCTGGACAGCGTCCGAATCACCGTACGCATATCTCGAACACTTTCGATCTAAGCCCCTCTTGTTCATCATTTAATAAGATGAACCCCTTCATATTTGAGAAATTATGGTATTAGATTCTACAAATCTTATCTGATGTTAACATAGTAAAAACTTAAATTGAATATAAAGCATTCTAATGATTAAATTTAAATTTAAAGGATGAAAAATTTAAATTAAATAAATAAATTTAAATTTAAATGAGGATGAAATATGATCATTAAAATTTTAAAATATGACAAAATTTAGCCATTAGAAATTTGAATAAAAGTTTGAGTTTTTCTTAATTTTGATAAAAATTTGAGTATCTTTTGATTTGATAAACCTAAATTTAAATTTATGCTTAAAAAATAATAAGAATTGGAAAATGCTCATATAAGTTAAACTATTTATCATATTAATTGACACGTGTCAAATTTTTAGATTAAAACAACAACATTAATCAAGATTTTTTATCAAGTAATTTTTTATCATGTTTTTCATTCAAAGTGATGTGGTACAATTTTCATCAAATAAGTGGATCTCATTAATATTCAATGATAAAGATTGTACCATATCATTTGGAATAAAAAATTTTGTAAGAAACTTGATAAATATAACATTGTTGTTAAAAGAACATTACTATTAAAAGAAATATAACTCTTCCACCAAATAGAGTATCTTCAATCCTTATCCAAAGTCTTACTCAAATTTAAATTTGAGTAAAGATAGTGATGGTGCTCGAAAATCTCTTTACTTAACTACAGAATAATATGGGATGAAGCCTAAAGGGATTTCGTGTGTGTTTATGACTGAGCGTATATTTAAAGTTGAAGTTGACACAAATACAAAAATATGAATGGTTCACCTTAATCAAAAGATCAAGGCTACATTAACTGTGAAGGAGACTCTTGCTTCATGAGGGCTAAGTTGCTTGGAGAAGGAGGTTGTCGTTACAGATGATTTGGCTGGAAGCCTTTTACAAAGTATTTCCTAAGTTGTTTCTGATACTCTGTCACGCCCCAAATTTCATAAAAATGTGATAAAATAAATACTTAGTTTATTTAAAAAAAAATACATGTCGGTATGTTGTAAAAACATTTAGGAAAATATCTCTTTAGTTGAAATAAATCAATTTTTTTTTTGAAAATTTCGACAGAGTTTCCTTTGAAAATTGGACTTCCAATCAATTAGTAAGAGCATCCCTGTGAGAACATAACATAATTTAAACTAACTAAACAGTCACAGCATGTCTCCATCCAAAAATATAATTCAACTAAATCCGGGGTGGCAATTAGAAGCCCACAAAGTCCTTCCAAATCCGGATATATCCAACACCGATATATTCCACAACTTAGTACCCAAAGTCATAACTTTACATTATAATATCCAAAATAATAATCCTTCTATGGGATGATCAAGTGTACACCATAAATGCCTCAACACAACTTTTTCAAACACAATGTTTGAGTGCTAACATTTCTACATAAGTTCTAAAGATAAATACAAAAAAACTCCAAAAAATATTCTTTCTAGTCCAAGCTCCCACAAGCATTTCATCACGTATGCCCCAAGATGCATGCTAGTTTATGAAAATATTAGTAAGGAATGAGCAAACCGCTCAGTAAAATAATCATTTTTCCAAGCATTTACAAAGTTTTAAAAACCAACATTCCGTTAAAAAACACAGGAACAAAAAACCAAAGCCAAAAGCGATTAGCAACTAAACAATATTAAATGAATAAGCCTAACACATATAATTTAATAATTAAACTAAATAATGTATAAAATTTGTGAAACAGTAACAACTTAACTGCTGCAAATTGTATATTGTGGATGCATATAATATAACTATTGATACATGTATCAAATTAAAACTAATAATTTAACAAACGCAATTGAACACAATATAAAACAATGAAAAACAAATTAGAAAGATCTGGCATTTGAGGGTCTGTGAGGCACTTTGAAACGTTGTCCTAAAACGACTGAGCCTCCCTACGTGAAGGTAGTAGCAGACTGCAACGGCTCTAAGATACAACCCAGATTCAAAAGCAAGAACTCATCAGAATTTATGTACACCGAAAAGTAAGGATGAATCAAACTCTAATCAAGTTGCCCAAAAATTTAGTAGAATCAAAATACTCAAGAATGTAGAGAAGAACAAAGTCCTTTGTGAACACCCAATGTAAAATGATACTAAAAGTTTCTGCCGACTTGTAGACCAAATGAAACAAAGTTTGCCGACTTTTCCTTGTAGACCAAATAAAACAGTGTTTTTTAAGTTACTGGAAGGATTTTTTCTATTTTAAAACTCAATGGTTTTTGTCTTTTTATAGGCAGAAGATTTGCCTAAACGCTGTGAACAAACCCAGAGAAAAAAGTGTCGTTGCTATGCAACGGTTTGGACTTCAAAATTGCACTGTTTAGAAAGTCTAATTGAAATGCAAGTTTTAACTCCTTCACCAACCGTCTCATATATATAATATATAATATATAATAATTCAAAATGTATTAAATAAATCTTAGGGAACAAAAAAAAATAGAAGTGTTTTTTTTTTAGAAAAAATAAAAAAACTAAATTTATTCCAACAATCCCCCACAAGTTTTTTTCTATAAAAAAACATATATATATATATATATAAATGAAAATTGGGCAACTGTAATATTGTTTAATAGGTGTAGGTATCTTTCGAACTTGAACTCTACTTAGTGTTAACTGTTTTTCTCTGAAAGATAATAGTAACCAAAGGTTTGAACTAGACCCTTTGAGTCAGAGTCCAACATGTTACATGCACAATACCCGATATTAGTCATGATTCGCAGGTTAGTGTTATTAAAGGTCATGCACTTGATCTTGATTCTCATGAGAGTTTCTAAATAACAACTCAATTCTCATAGTCGCAGCCTCACGACGACTCTCATTTAGGTGAAACCTCCAAGGGCAAATATGACCCCTACCCTGCAAGAGTGTTCTTGCCTTGGTGTCATTTAGGGTAACAACCCTTCCTTAATGTCACACTTCAAATGCACTTCTGCCATAGGAATGAGTAAGAGAATATCTCCTCCTAGGATATCTCCAAATTTAAGTGTTAAATAAGTCACACAGTATGAATTGTTTCTACCCATTGAACTTCCTTCTTGGGGTTCCTAATCACAGAAGTTGAGTTATCTTCCTAGGTGACTTCCTTATGGGCTTAGACTCATTCCCCTCGACAGTTCTAAGACGAATTTTCTTGAAAGTCCTTTTGTTAGCTGATCAGCAATATTCAATCCTAATTTTACAAAGTCTAGTGAAATTATGCTGTTACTTAACATTTTCTTCACAGATTTATATCTTACTTGCATATGTCTGCTCATCTTTGTATTAGTATGAGTTTGCTTCACAAGCTCAATCACAACTTTATTATCACAATGCAAAGATATAGCAGGTATAGGCTTATTCAATAAAAGGTATATAGTGTAATAAGCTTTTAATCCACTCAGCCTCGATACAAATGGTATCTAAGGCTATAAGCTCTGCCTCCATTGTACTTCTAGAAATTATAGTTTGTTTTTTAGATCCCCCAAGATATGGCTGCCCCACCTAACAAGAAAATATAACCGGTAGTGGATTTTATATCTAAACTATCAGTGATCCAATTCGCATCACTAATACCCTCAACGACACTTGAAAATCCTTTATAATGTAAAGAGTAATCTAGAGTTCCTCTACGATATTTAAATACCCTCTCTAAGGCAGTCCAATGTTCTTTACTCGGATTTTGTGTATATCGACTTAGTCTTCCCACAGGATAAGAGATATCAGATCCAGACTTATTAGCTAAGTATAATAAAGATCCTATCATTTTTGAGTACTTCAATTGTGATATAGGGCCTCCTTTATTTTTCTTTAAATATATATGAGAGTCATATAGCATCGACACTGGTTGACTGTCATAAAACTTAAATTTCTTCAACATTTTCTCTATGGTGTTAGATTGACTAAGAGATATTCCACTTCCTATTTTCTCTATTTCCATGCCCAAGTTTACCTTGGCTTCTCCCAAGTCTTTCATATCAAACTTCTTAGATAAGTAAGATTTAACCTCTTTAACTATTTCTAAATCAGTCCCAAAAATTAGAATATCATCCACATAAAGACATAAGATCACACATCCTCCAATATTTTCCTTATAATATAAGCATTTTTCACTTTCATTTATTTGAAAACCATATTCTAGGATTACCTTATCAAACTTCTCATGTCATTGTTTAGGTGTTTGTTTCAAACCATATAAAGATTTTACCAACTTGCATACCTTATGTTCTTGTCCTTTTACTATAAAGTCCTCGAGTTGCTCCATATATATATTTTCATCCAAGTCTCCATTTAGAAAAACAGTTTTGACATCCATTTTATGTATCACTAAATTATGGATAAAAGCTAAAGCAATTAAAATTATGATGGTAGTGATACTAGACACTAGTGAGTATGTATCAAAATAGTCTATTCCTTTCTTTTGTGTAAATCCTTTGGCTACCAATCTACCTTTGTATTTATCTATACTCCCATCAAGTTTTAATTTCTTCTTGAACACCCATTTACATCCTATCGCCCTTGCTTCCAGGAGGCAACTCTACTATCTCCCAAGTGTTATTTTGTAAGATTGATTCAATTTCACTATTAATAGCCTCCTTCCAAAAAGGAGCTTCTAGAGAGGACATAGCTTTTTGTAAGATGTAGGCTCACTTTCTACTAGAAAAGTGAAAAAACCATCTCCTCTAATCTTGGCCTTTTACTTCTTCTTAACTCTACTAATATCTTT